CTATGGAAAGAGGTAACAGTGACCTTCATCCCGAAAGCCAGGAAGTCGAGTCATACGCTACCAAAGGATTACATACCGTTTAGCCTCTCTTCCTTTCTACACAAGTCTTGAGAAAAGTTGCTAGACTCTGAAATTAGGAATACTATTAACCAAAATAAAATTATAAATTCCCAGCAAGCCTACATCAAAAGGTAAGTCAATGGATACAGCTTTACATGAGATGGTTAGACGCATTGAGAAGAATATTGAGTCCTCTGGCTACACTTTGGCAGTGTTCCTCGATATTGAAGGAGCCTTCAACAATCTAATGCTAGAGGCTATCCATTCTAATAGCACTCTACTCGTGCAAGAGCTTCATAGGTAAGAGCTGGGGATTAAGACCAGAGATCATACACTGGTTGTATGTGACGGTAATACTCCCCATTCTTACATATGGATGCCTTGTATGGTGGCAGGAGGTCAACAAAAAGATTCTGCTGACTAAAATGAACTCAGTAAAGCGATCGGCTTCGATCCTGACTACCTTAGCGCTAAGACGCTCACCACGAGCAGCCTTGAATGCGATCTTGAATCTCCAACCACTGGACACTCTAATAAAATTCCAGGCTGCTAAATGTGTTCTGAGGCTCCGAGAAACGGATCCAGAAGTACTTAGTGATTCTTTTCCCTCTCATAGAGACTTTAACGATATCAGAGTAGATTTTTCCTTAGGCATTTGTGCAGGTGTTTACTGTATGGAATTAGAAATATAAAACTCATATAAACTTAACAATCTAGCGTTTTTCTAGCATAAATCCTTGCAACCACGAAAGCGGCCGAGATAGTCAAAACACTTACTGCCGATAATACGTGACCGGTGACTATATATGTCGATATATAGCAGTTCTTGATTGCAAGGCTGCTCTGTATGATATACGACGGATAATTAATTTATGTTGGGTTTCAGGACATAGCAATATAGAAGGGAATGAGATAGCCGACAAGCTTGCTTGAGGGGGTTCACAGTCGTCCAATCTTTCTATTGAAAGATCTCGAGGCCAGATATCTGGCCTGAATTCTCTCGCCGAAGAACTTTTTCTCTGTTGTCACATAATAAGATAGAGATCAAAATCATTGTATGGATCATAACAGGTCTCTGCAAGTTTAGTTCCCTCACTTCGAAATGGGATTCCAACGGAGAGGATTACTGTCGTCTATGTGAGGACGAAGAGGAGCTAAAAACAATTGAACATATCCTCTGTAGATATCCACCGTTGAGTGTCAGAAGACCCAAATAGTTTGAAAAATATAAAATTGATAATTTAGCTTTCTTCTCCAAAATAGACCCCAATCAGATCCTAGGCTTTGTCAAAAATCTGGCATGGCTAAAATAACCATCTTCGATTACAAAGTGAACACCATTTTGATTTGTGTTCTCTTAAATTTGGTTGAAAGTTTTACTAGTTTTGTGTGTTAAAGAACGGGATTCAAGTAAAAAGATGCAAAACTTGTAAAATTAGTAGATTCTTGCAGGTTCTGGAACATATACCTACATTGGAAATAATCAAGGAAGAAGTTTTTATTCAATAGGACTCCGGAATGCCAAAACACAATCACTTAAAAATCTTGCTTTGAGATGAGAACATGCAGATAAAATCTCAAAATACAGTAAATGGAAGGGATCTTTATATTGATCATTTTCTGCATAGAAGTATGTCAGCTTTGAAAAACCCGGAATGGCCAATGATGCGGTACCGTTATATGGGACCTATACAAAAACGGGGACAGACATATAACATTTGCAATATCAAACATCCAAGGAGTAGTAGCGATCTCTATCGTAGTTGATTGACAGACAGACAAAGCAAAACCGACATTGAATTTTATTCCGATTATAACAAGGAGTACGTGTTTCCAAAATTTAGAAGATTCATATTGAAGACCCATATATATATGAGACAATTATTCAGAAATAAATTCTAATTAAAATCATACTAAGGAACTTAACACCATTCTTGATCGAAAAACAAATACCCCACTTTATATTCATAAAATGATGGAAGTAAATATACGTTTAAATGTAAAAATTAAATAAAACTATAATAATAAAAAAACAAGGAACAAATTTTGCTTTATGATTTTCAAGCATATTTTTTACTTTATTTCTTAGTTATTCTTTTTTCTTCAATTATTAATATATAATTTTTTTAAATAGTTTTTCATTTTTTTATATAATAACATAAAAACATTTTTTTTTTTTCATTTTTCACTGGTTGGAGACGACGGATGGATGGATGAAAGGATGTGAGATGAGAGAATGTTTGTGTTTTTTGTTTAACTATATTTATAATATTACTTAATTTGGTTTGTTGTGGTTGTTGTTCTTGTTTTATTATGTTTTCTTTTGTTCCTTCAAATTCAAAAGTATAATAATGAAATTGAAAAAATGGATGGATGGATTCAAAAAGTTATTTGTTTTTAAATTTAATTTACATTTACACAACATAAGAATAAAATAGTTTTATTTTTTCTGTTTTTGTTTAACTTTAAATACATAAATATTTACTTAATATAGAATTTGTTTTTATATTTATATATAAATATTTATTTTTAATTTATTTAGACTTTAGTAATAAAAACACATTGGTATTACAAAATAATGATAATAATTACACAATATAAAAAAAAAACAAATGTGGTGTTTATATTACGGATTTACTTTCTTCCTCAATTTTGTTGTTTGTTTAATAATTTTAAAATTAACTTAGATGTGAATTCAATTTAGTTTAATTAATTATTTAATAATAATAAAAAATATCTATAAAATAATTAAACACATTATGAAATTACTAATAAATGCTTATGGGGTAAAAATAATAATAAACAAAAAAAATAATTAATTAAAAAAAAATTCTATTTATTAAAACATATTCCTATTTTTAACACATTTTATTTATTTTTGTTTCCTTTTCTTTATGATAAAAATTATATTTATAAAATTTATTTATATATATGTATATAATAAGTATATATAGATATAGGATAAGGAAGATGACTGAAGAAATATTTCTTTTTTATTTTGATTGATTTCGTTTTCAAGAGTTAAAAAAAATTAATTTATAATTATATAAATATGTATAAATACATAGGATTTGTTTTCTTTTTTCTGTTTTGTTGCAATATATGTATAAATATATATAGATATAGTTTCATTTTTTCTTCTTCTTCTTCTTTGAAATTTTGTACAAAAGAAAGGGATTTAATGTTTGTATGGGGGAATATGGGGGTAGATTTTAATTTATTTATTTTTTTGTTTTAAATTTTACACAATTGAAAAGGAGTGATGTATCACGAGGTGATTGAAATCATAAAAATTAATGCTGAAGACATGCATAATTAGAAATGTATTTTTTTTGTAATAGTGACCCAAAGACTTTTTTATTTTTTAGTGGAACATCATGCCAACCATTAGCTTTATTAAAATCCGATTGCCCTTTGAAATCTTTAATAATTGTGAATACTAAACTCTTTATTTCTCTAGGATATTTTATTTAATATTTACAAAATCTGAATAAAATGCCCATTTTTTCAAAAAAGAAATGTTATTAGGTTTTCCAATAAAAAATAATCCCAGCAGACCAAATTCTCATGGACGTCATAAATGGGAGGTAAGATATATACATTAAGGTATGAAGAGGGTCTCATTCGACCTCAAAGCTAACTCATGCCATTGCCCAAAGGTCTGTTTCAAAAAACCCATGGATTTTATATTCTAATAAAGGAGCCTACAATGAAAAGCTCCCTATTGAGCAACATCCCTAATTAAATGATTTTGGAATCTGAATTTAATAATGTTTGAAGTATTATAGATTAATTGAAAAAATATATTTTTATGGTTCGAAATTATTAACTTATATGACCAACCTATTAAGGGTTTAAATTATGGTTCAGATACAGTAAAAATAATTTAATTTAGACTGTTTCTACATATTTTAGTCTTGAAACGAATTGAAATCCTATTTTTTTTTTTCAAAATAATAATTTTATATTTATGAACAACATTGAACATTTAATTTGCAGCCTCATAAAAATTTTGATACGAAAAAAAAGAATATTTTATGAAAGTATTTTTAATTTCATTAATTAATAAAAAAATCTCTAAGAATTTTATTTTTTATTCTGTTTAAGGACAGCAGTCACATTTTCTATGTCATAGGTTTTTTTTAAGGTTATGTAAAGAAGAGGGGAAATAAGTATAGGATTCTCCATAATGGAGTATTTGAATACTAAAAAAATTAATTAATAATAATTCTGTTTTAAAAAATAGTATTCCGTTTAAGAATTTTGTTTGTTATTCTATTTATGGACAGAAGTCACATTTAACATTTCCATGCTATATGTTTTTTTTTGGTTATGTAAAGAAGAAGCGAAATAAGTATAGGATTCTCCCTTATGGAGTATTAGAATACCAAAAAAAAATTAAATTAATAATAAATCTGTTTTAAAAAATAGTATTCCATTCCAGAAGACTATCTGATAGTAAATTTTAATATCCACCTCCATGACCTCGCTTTTGGTGTGTGTAGGTTATGTGAAGATTAAGGATTATTTTTTATCACTTTGATAACAATGATTACTTTTTAGTCGCAGACTCCACAGTCGTGAAAACATCACGGTTCTTGTTGCCAGGTCATTTTTAAGATATCTCGCACACAAATACAAAATAATTTTGAAAAAAGTTTTATGTCTTTAATTGTTTGGGAAATTTAAATAAAGCTCAATCATGGCTGTTCTATTTCTTCCTAAATATTCGATTTTTTTAAATGTTGAAAACTAGGTCTTAACTTCTTTTTTAGAATAACTTTAAATTTCGGCGTTTTTCAAATTGTTGGGAAATTATAGTTTTTTTGCTTTTTAACCACATCTGTAGAGTCTTATCTGAAGCCGATTAATTTTATTGGAGTCTGATTTGAAAAATTAGTTACATTCGAAAAATATTTCCCAATGTAATTTAGGAAGTTTTACGCCTAAAATAGTTTCGGAAATTTAAATAAAGTTTTAATATGACTGTTCTATTTATTCTTAATTCGAAATGTTGAAACACTAGGTATTAACTTCTTTATTAGCATAACCTGCAATTTCCGCTATTTTCAAACGGCTGGCAAACGACCATGCATTATATAGAAGACTTGTAAGTTCGTTTATATGTATTTTAAATTTAAGCAAATTCATTGACATAATTTTGTTGTTATTGTTTTTTTTTGTAATTAATAAAATATCTTCTTTTCAATGGCGGGCATGATTTCCGAAAACACGAACATACGATTCATACGTGGCTATGTACATACTGAATAACGTGTAACAGTTTGGAACCGGTCCACCATTCGTAAAAACACAGTTTTGAGAAAAAATGGTTTTAAGTTTGAGAGGCACTCTTGACACAATAAGTCGGCTACATTTTCAAGAGTTGTTGAGATTTTAAAGGGACATATTTGAATAAGTGTAAGTTCAAATTATATAAAAATTAAAAAACAAAATTCAATTGAAACTGCAAATGGGGTCCCCTAAAACGTTAGCCGGTTTTGTTTAAATTCAAGATTAAAGGTTTTTATTAAATATTTTGATGTATTAAAATTTAATTTGAACCATGCCATAAAAATAATGCAATTTAGAAAAGTTTAATTGTCTGTTTCTATAAATTCGATTCAGACAAAAACAATGTAAAAAAATGCTGTTTTGAATTTCACAGAAATTTTTTGCAAAACTTGTGATAAAAAATACATATTTTTCAAATCCATGCACGGTTTTTTTGACCACGAATCTAACAGAAATATCAGAAACGACATCTCAAGATTGAGGCTAACAATTTGTGATTTGTATTTTTTTTAATATTTGTTCAAGAATTAAAAAAAAAAATAAATAAATAAAATGTGAAGAATTTGATTGTAAGTCATTATAGTTATTTACTGTGTATTGTTTTTATTTTGAAGATTTTTTAAGATTAAACTGAATTTACAAATTTTTAATTTTAAGTTGGCATGATGATTTATTAAAAAAAATATGTGGATTGAAAAATTTATTTTCATTTTTTGTAGGGGTTGATTTTCACCTTAGTGTCTCACAAAAATATTATAAAAAAAGTAAAAAAATTAAATCAATAATTTTTAGTAATGTTTTCAATATTCGTCGATTGCTTTAAAACAAAAATAAATCGATCTGGTAAAATCTCAGATGAACAAGTGGACACAAAATTGAAATAAAGTTTGACTCTTCTCATGAAAGTTACCAACTAAACATTTTGAAATCCATGCGAACTGTACTTTGATAAATTATAAAGGATTTATTCAAAAAGCTTGACTACATACATCATTGATTTGTTGTTTTCAATGAACTTTAAAAAATTGTGGTAGGTTTGGTAAATGTATTTTACCATTATCGACTTTTCTTTTCATATTCTAACTTAAAATCGGGAAATACTAAACTTAAAATCCGGAAATATTACAAAAAAGTACATAGTAAGGCATAGTTGTTTTTATTAAAACCCCTTTTTATGTTTTCAATATTTAGTTGCTCCAAAACAAAATCCAGGGGTCTGGTAAAATCTCACTCGAATAAAAGGAGTATTAAGAACTACATTTTTTGAAACCATGCACTTTGAAAGGTATAAGGGAAATATTCAAAGCTCGACTAATATCAGAATTTTTGTTAGGTTTGATAAACCAATTATCGATTTTTCATATACAAAAATGTATTCAAACTTAAAATCGGAAAATTTAAGTTTTTTTTTTTTTTTTAATTTACAATTTCTAAAACTTTTCCAATGGACTTGTTACATGGGATAAATGGTGAAGAGCTGTAATTTCTCTATAGACTTAATTCGGAAACATTTTAAAATTTAGCTAAATTGACAATTTTTTTAGTTAATTTTAGAATACATATAGATAAAGATACCTTAAAAATTGTGTATAGTTTTGATTTAGTTTAGCCAATTTTAATTGTGGCAATATTATTAAGTTTTTAATTTCCCCCACTTTTCAATAGAATTGTAGCAATTATTTATTTAGTTCACTTCGTAATACAAGGTCATTATGGCCAGAGAATTAAAAACCTCTACATTAATAAAGACATAATTTGTTGTTAATATTTTTGTTGCAATAAAATTTAAAACCTTTAAACCTTTGCGAAATTTAATTGCATTTTAACACCATCAAATAGATTTTATTTAAATATAATCGGATTAAAAATTAATTTTAAAATCCGCCACAAATATACACACACAATATCATCACTCATAATCAAATGTGTTAAATAAAGAAGAACAAAAAATAAGTAACTAAAATCTACCCAGGATATTAATAATATAAATAAATTAAAAAAAGGGGAAATGGTGTAATTTTAATATTTGGGTGGGGACCTAGGTTGGTGTTAGTGTAGTTGTTGTTACTAATTTTATGTTTTTGTTTTTGTAAGTAGTAATAGGATTAATAAGTATTAAAATACAATTTTACGTTTCTTCTTTGTTTTTAACTTTCATATGATTGTATATTAGAGGGGGAGGTTTGCTTTAGTTGTTGTTTTGTTTTATAAATTAAAAATTGCTATAATTTATTAAACTTAATTAATTAAAAAAGAAAACATAAAAATTATTTTTTTGTTTGTTTATAAATATATATATACAACAATTTGTTTTTCTTTTTTTGGGAGGTTAAATGGTTTTGTTATTTGTAGTTTCGGTTGTTTTGTTTGTTTGTCGGGAGAGCAGTATCGAAGCGACATAGTATAAGAACAGTGGGAAGAAATGGGGTTTAGGGGGGCAGGCAACAGACGGCAGGGAATTTAACAATTTAAAATCAGATTTGTAGACACACACAAATACACGTTTTCCAAAAAGGAAAAGGATGGTATCTTTTTGTTCTATATTAGTAGCACTGCGGTATATGTGTGTGTATTTGAGAATTTTTTTAGTTGTGTTTTTTCTTTATAGTTTTAGAAAAAAGTGGAAAATTTCCGTTTGTTCGGTTGTCTTACACTATGGCTACTTGTACCATTTGTAGCGTTGACATTTACCACAGCCACAGAAGCATAGGCAGCCGGCTCTTCTGGTATGGATGTTGCTGCAGCAGCGGCAACACCAACGCCAACACCAACAATAACATTACCACCACCACCACTGCCACTCATACCGCCACCGACACCGCCACTATTTCCGCTACTACTGCTACTCTCACTGGTGCTGCTATTCCTGATGCTGTTGTTGATAAGTGGTCTGGATTTGGCCATTTGACAGCCACCACCAGCTGCCATAAATGTAACGCCGCCGCCACTGCTGCTGCCAATGCTATTCGCCGCCATCAACTTCCTATGGCCATAGGCATTGTGCAGCAGTGACGTCGTCGCCGTGGAGGCAGGTGGAGCTATAACGACCGGTACCAGCACGGGTTATACAGAAATTTCATAGTTCATATCATAGACACTGGCACGATCGGGTGTGGGCGTGGTGGTATTTGCCCTCGAGCCAATTATGTGCTGGGCAGCACCGCCACCTTGACCGGACATTATGGCACCATTGTTACGATTCTGTTGCTGTTGCTGCTGCTGATGTTGATGATGGTGTTGTTGTTGCTGTTGCTGCTGCTCAAGCGTTTGCATTTCCATAGAGTCTGTCATTTCGAGTGCTCTAACAAAGGACATGGGTCGGGTGGGAGTCTGTTTGCGTTTGATTTGAGGCGATGGTTGGGTATTGGAGGAGGATGACATGCCGCCACCAGCACCAGCTGAGGGGTTAGGATTGGGCGGAAAGACGGGAACTCCACCGTGGATTTTGGGCTGATAGCTTTGTGCAGCCGGACCACCACCACCACCAGATGAATTACTACTTGGACCCCCCAATGCTTGACTATAGCTGGCCATCGGCTGGGGCTGGGATTGTGATGTTACCGTGGAAGTACCACCGCCATAGCGCAGCATATAGGCTGGTGCGGAAGCAGTTGTTGAGGAGGCCGAAGGCAATGTTGTTGGACTAGTTGGATTTGAACGATGGAATAGCGGTCCATGGGCCTGCTGCTGCTGGTGTTGTTGTTGGAAGTCATGGATCACACCACCTCCTCCTGGCTGCATGCGTGAATGTGTCATAATCAGGGGATGACCCTGTTGTGCTCCTCCACCCGTCACCGTTATATATTGAGGCCCGCCTGTACTGTGATGTTGCATGCTGGTTGGCATAGTGCCTGCACCGCCGCCAGCCATTGAGGATGGTGGTGGCATCATCATACCACCACCACCGCCGCCTGTACTATTTTGGAAACCTGGAGATGTATCCTTCCACATGTAGACACCACGCTGGGGGCTACCGGCCAGTTCGCGTATATTATCCACCGTATTGTTGGAACGGGCATAGGCCAGATCGCCCATTGTCGGCCCCATGGCACCACTGCTTTGACGCACCAATTCTCCCTCGGAGAGAAAACGACGTTGGGGACTGCCTCCATATGGCTGTTGCGCCAAGGCGGCGGCATGTTGTTGTTGTTGGATGTTAATAGCCCCTGGGAGAGGAGGAAAGGGAAATATTATTAATTTTTGTTGTTGTGTTTTTTGTTGTTTCACTTACCTTGTTGCTGTTGCTGCATTATGGCACGTTGTTGCATTAGCATTTGTTGTTGCTGTTGTATTGTGGGTAACTGTGGATGTTGCGGTGGTAAACCCGCCGCTCCTGACGATGACGACGATGAACATCCCGGTCCCGGACCAACATTTGTTGTATACTCATAATAGGACTGCGTTGGATTTTGTGAATTGGCCAGCTGTTGTTGCTGCTGTTGATTCAAGCCAATAAAATCCGGCCTTCTTGGCTGTGTGGGTGTGCCTGGATTTGATCTAATTTTTTGTTTTGTAGAAATGATTTTAAGATAGATTTCAAAAAATTAGTTGCATTTGGGGGAGAGATTAAAAACAATTACAAAAAAATATATATGTATTATTTTATTTCATTTCATTTTGGGGAAAGGGTAGAAGAAAATAGCAACAAAGCTGAAGATAATAAGTTTGGTTATGTAGAAACGCCAAGAAAAAACAAAAATTAAAACAAAAACGAAATAGTTTAGTAACTCTCAATGGTTAAGCATTAAATCGCCACAGAAGAGAACTCTAATTGGTTAAGATTCAAATGTTTTAGGGGGTGGAAGGAAGATATTAGTAAAAATTGTGATGATTTTGAAAAAAGTAGCACTGATTTTGAATATACATAAAAATAACAACAAAAAATGTTAAGAAGCAGCAGTGCAAATAAGAACTTTATAAAATTAAAAAAAATATATATACAATAAAGAGATTACCAATTATTTAGATACGGGTGATAGAGAAGGTGATTGAAAATGTTTCATAAAATGAATGACGATATTGTGCTTGAGATGTGGCTGATGGTGGTGGATGTAATGACTAGTAAGATATTAACATGTAAATTTGTTCATTAGGGGTGTGAAAGGTGCTTTTGGGTGGATGTTGATTTCACATTTATGGTGATGTGATGGTTCTTTTAAAGCATTAGAACTTAAACTATTGATACCATTATTAATTAACCACAAGTAACCTAAAGGTTTTTACTGTCGAGGATTCTAAGTATAAATATTGATTTTGAAAATTATATAAAAAATAAAATTGATGAGGAATATTAAATGAAAAATAATCTGGATGAGAGTCAATTAACATTTTTTTTTGAATGAAGACAAATCTCTTAGTATTCACTTTAGATGAAGTAGAGGTAACAGAAGGATTAGGTCGATGGATTTCTAGCCTGAGTAAAACTATTACGATGTGTAAAGTTATGATGAATTCTAATATTCAGATACCTTCATATAAAAACTTTATACAAAAAGAAGTATAGGATTGATGGATCCCATCTTCAGATTTTACTTAAAAAATATTAAAGTATGCAAAGTTTGAATTAACTTTATTCTACTGAATATTTCACACTTTATTGGGGAAGTTACCTAAAGTAACTTAATCGCACCTAAGCTTATGTTTGTAGTTAGTCTTATTCAAAAATTTGACCTTTTGTGGGGGATACTAAAAGGAGTAAACCGATAGACGCCATCTGTGGGAATGATATAGAAATTGTAGGTGTAATTTAAGTCAAATTGGATAACGAGTTTTTCCTAGATTTTGTAGCAAAAAACACTATTAGATATTTCGATGGAAATTCTTTGTCTATCAAAGAGTATACTGTAGTGTAATTAGCCATAAGATTGAGGGTATAGAAAATCAGGAGGATGTTAGTTTAAGACTTTATTGTTTTGTCTGGATAAATTTCATTTAAAGTTCCGTAAGGAAGGATACACTCTTCTCTGTTGTAGATTCTTGCCAAAGTTGGCCATCTCAAAATTATAGATGTACCTTATGCCAATGATGTAGTTGTCCTGATAATTAGTACATTTTTACCAACAACACATTTTTACCAACAATATACGATGATATTGTGCAAGGTGCTTCGGTAATTCTGTCAAAATAGACCCAAGATAATGGTATTTGGATCATCCCCGCAAACACCGAATATAAAATAAAATACAATTTTATTTATTTACTCCATTCAATAATACATAAGCCTCTAAGGCTAATGAATAGTATTAACAGTTAAATAAGGTCCTAATCATGATGTAATAATAAGGTGGCGCATCAAAACAACAACATTTGTTTTTGTCCCGACAATCTGTCAAATTTTTTCTAGTAATATTTCGTATGGTCGAATTCAGGTAGAAACTACATACATTGACAGTTAATCGACTCGTCACTTCGCAAAATGAACTACCTATTTGTTGTGCCATGGTATTTTGCCTCGTATCTAAAAGTCGATTTTTAGTTTTTTTTTCGAGTTTTCCTTTTGATTAAAAAGTAGACTTTTCGATCGTCAAGCCAGTTCAAAGTTTTACCGAATAAGTAGATTAGGCGAGTTTACTTGAGGCAATTGTTATCGTTCTCTTTTGAACTTGCTTAATGCGTCTATACAAGGCAATTCGGTTTCAAAAAATATCTTTTTTTACATTTTGTGATTGGTATTTCAAATTACTGACTCTACAAACAAAACACACAAAACGAATTGCCAGAAAATTGTCGGTACGAGCAATTTTTTTTAATTTGCATTCCCCTTGTCCCTCTCTCCTGCAAACAAAGACTTGCCGCAAGTAAACTCGCCTAATCTAAATTGGGACTAAGTAGATTAGGCGAGTTTACTTGCGGCAATTCTTATCGTTCTCATTTGAACTTACTTAATGCGCCTATACGAGGCAATTCGGTTTCAAAAAATATTTTTTTTTACACTTTGTGATTGGTATTTCAAATTACTAACACCACAAAAAAACAGAAAACGAATTGCCAGAAAATTGCCGGTACGAGCAATTTTTTTTCAATTTCAGTACCCTTTGTCCCTTTCTGTCCCTGTGTGGTAATTAACCAAGTATTTTTAAATATATCGACATAGAATTTTATTGTAAATGGCAAATTTAACATAAGCTCAACCTTATGGTGGAGGTTATAAAAAGAACGTCTTTGTAAGAACTAGTTCATTAGCTCTTTTCAGTGAATCGTTCATTTGAACCAGTTCGTTCGTGAACTGTACACAATTTAATATTTTTCATAGCTAATAATTATCAGAGCCAAAATATCCTCTAGCAGCTAATTATTTGATATGTACAATTTTAAATAATTATATTTAATAATTTCTATAGTTTTAATATTCAATGATGCATGAATTCAATTATCGAATGAAAGAAGAAAAAAAAATGAAAAATTTCCGATAATGATGAATAATGTTAGGTGATATTTAATTGTATATAATACAAAATAATAATAATAATAACAATAATAATTAAAATTATATATGCAACCAAATAAATTCATACTTAATTGCCAACAATTGTGTCAACCAATTCATTGCATACTTTTAGGCAAATCTAAAATGAACTCTTATCGACTATTTCTTGAAGCTTTTAACTAGAGCTTATGTTATTAAAAAAACAACAATGTTTCACTAGCCCTTAAAAATTTAATTTGTTTTTTAGTACAAATTAAAGAAACAAAAAAGATGTAAGAAACCAAGAGTGTCTGAAGAAAATGGAGATAGTTTCTAAAGATTTACCAAATCGATGTAAATGCCAAAAAATGTCAATACCAAAACCAGTTAAAAAAGAGGAAAGGAGATTTGTTTTTCTTTTTCTAAACACCCATGAAGATGATGTGGAAATTTTGTGGGTCAACAAGGGGGCTAGAGTAACTGCAGTCGAAATCGTTTATAACGACTTATCCAAGAGTCCGGAGTAATATTCGGTGCTATATTTAATTGATCTCTTAAATGCTATATTTAAGAGATAAATTTTACCGTCGTTACAAGCGATTTCGACTGTAGCCCCAAACGCAAAACCAGCTTTGATGATCCACAAAAATGTGTTGTGAAAATTTTGATTTTTTTGGTAAACCCTAAAATATAAATGGGGGTAATATGAATATGACGGCCAAACAAAATTACTTTAAATTTTGAAATGGAATTATTATTATTATTGAGTTGTTCTTGAGACGAATGAATGATAAGCAAAATAGGACACAACACGTGTACTGACGAAAAAGAAAAATAATTAACGAATATGGGGACGGGACATTTTTTTTTTAAATAAACGAATGAATAGAAAAACGAAAGAAGAAAAAAGAAAAGCAAAATATAAGAAACAAAAATAAACTCACCTCCATTGGATACATTTTTTTGATTGGGATGTGAAAATTAACAGAGAAACAGAGAAGTTGTTGAAAAGTAGAGTAGAGCGTAGAGAGGTAGTAGACGAACAAAAGTTGTTTTGATTTCATTTTTTGGACGGAGTTGTTCTTTAAGTCTAGTTGCTTATAAAATAGTACATAGTTTACACAGAGAGTGATTGGGAGAAAGAAGAGGAGGTGTTTTTCATCATAGATATATCAAAAAATCGTTTTTTATACACGGTCTTGATTTTTGTTTAGGGTTGAGTTGAGGAGTTGAGGTGTGATGTGTCTGTGTGCGCGCACTCACTCACTCGCTCTCTTTCTTTCATTTTTTGTATCTCAAGAGAAGTAAAGAATTAGTTTTTAGTTTGGTTTTTTGCATTATTTTACATAGTATTGGTTGATCATTTTTGGCTTTAAATAAAAAACAAAGAAATAAAAAGGAATAAAAGAAGGAGGGTTGTTGTTACAATATACATTTTATATATATATATTAAAAAAAAAGACATATGTAACAAATGTAGTTTTTAGATATGAAAATTGTATGAAATCAAACAATAAAATGAATAAAAACAAGAGAAGAATCCGCTTATATGTAAAAAAGAGTCGGCTCACTTATACACTGTTTAACCCAAAAGTATGCTATAGATTTTATTTGTAATTTTTTATTGATTTTCAGAATTTTCAAATAATATACATACATATATATTTTTTAACATACACACATTGCCATTAATTTTTTGTTTCAGGGTCGTACCTAAATTCATGCGTATGCGTACGAATTTATTCACCTCAAAAGTTAAATACATACAATTAATGTTACCCAAATACGCATATATATAAAGTTGAAACAACATTGACAATGCATTTACATGATCAATTAAAAACATGACGTTTTTAATTGGCACAGATGTAAATAAAGTTATTTGTATGCTAACAAAAAAACATTTTTGACCCTCATATTAATAATTGAAACCCCATAATGATGATGGATGAGTTATGTATGCTAAAAACATTTTTGTTTGGGTTTTATTTCTAATAAAGATTTTTGGACAACGTGGATAAAAAAATTTCTTTAAGAGACAGGAATTTAGCTCCCAGACGGTAAGTTTGTTTGAGGTTAGATTTCTTAATATTTTTTTATTCAAACTTCAAATTCAAACAATGGAAAAAGCGTTAAGTTCGGCCGGGCCGAACTTTGGATACCCTCCACAATATGTATATTGCCAGGTACTTGGAATGAAAATAGGGAAAATACCAAAAAGTGGACCTATACAAACAAATTGTCTGAAACGAATTTGGTCTAAAGAAACAATATTTCGATGAGGCACATTTTTAGCGTATCAAAGTATCAGAAGAATTGGTGAACCCTTGAGGTGTGGATTTAGAAAAGATTTTTTCAAAAGAACTTGAAATTTACTTACAATAAAAAATATACCAGCCTTCCTGGCTTGCCAACTAGATTAGTGAACAGCTCACATTTGAACTGATAGGAAGGATTGTTCTCTTCGATCTTTTAATGGACTAAAAAATGACTTGGCAACATCTAGTTCCGTCGCTCTTTTCAGTGTATCGTTCATTTGAAATAGTTCGTTAGTGAACAGTGGGACTCTTCTAACTATAGTTATGTATGGGGTTGCCAACTAGGTCAGGACTTAGCTGGATTGTCCAGCTTTTTGGATGTTTGTCCAGTTTCGAACTAAAATTAAATTTGTCCAACTAAATTTAAATTTATGATCATTCCAGCGATCTTAAATTTAAATTTACTTCGGCAATAGCTTCAAAAATCATTTTAATTTTCACATTTTGTATACTCTCTACCATAAAATGGAATGGTAACATACGCGGATTATTGTACGATCATAACGTCAGGACCCAAAATTTATGACATTTGCCAGAGGCTGAACCACTATCTCATGGATATAACTTACTTTTTTCGGGCGAAGAATATGAAAAAATATCCGCAACTAAATCAATGGATACACACGCAACTAACCACATGGACAGCGAAAGGTAGCCGCAGGTCGATGGGTCCACAATTCCGACCACCAATTACCCCAAGGTTCTAGGGGTCACATTCGATAGCCTTAATAAGTGGTCCGCGCATGCCATATATTTGCGATAAGATCAGGAGCAGAAACAGAGGTTCTCAAGTCGCTTGCCGACAAGGAATCCTTGTTAACGACATACACAGCAATAGTCCGATCTGTGGTAAATTATCAGCAGTACAAGCTGCTACAACAACAACTATTCATAGGCTGCGCTATAGAGACCACCGGTCTTTATAAACCCAAATTGGTCGAAATAGAGACCAACGGTCTTTATAAACCCCAATTGGGCTGTATAGAGACCACCGATTTTTTAAAGACCAATTGGCCTGTATAGAGACCTCCGGTTTTTATAAAGACCAATTGGTCTGTATAAAGACCAATTGGGCTATATAGAGACCACAGGTCTTTATTAAGACCATTGGGGCTATATGGAGACCATCGCTCTTTATTAATACCAACTGGGCTTTATAGAGACCGCCAGTCTTTATAAAGACCAGTTGGACGGTATAGACACCACAGGTCTTTATTAAGACCAATTGGGTTATATAGAGACTGCCGGTCTTTATAAACCCCAATTGAGCTGTATAGAGACCACCGGTCTTTATAAAGATCAATTGGTCTGTATAGAGACCACAGGTCTTTATGAAGACCACTTGTTCTATATGGACACCACAGATCCATATTAAGACCAATTGCGCTATATAGAGTCCATCGGTCTGTATTGATACCATAGGGTTTTATCAATACCAATTGGGTTGTATAAAGTCCGCCGGTCTTTATAAAAACCAATTCCTTTTTAATGTAATTAATCCTTTGTGAATTATATCGATTACAGCAGACATTCGATATTTCATTTGTTAAATATTTCCACGTTGTTTAAATTCCATTTAAAAAATAATGAAATAAAACATTTTTGATGAAAATAATGATGACGTTTGGCAACTATATCCTTCAATACACAAACTGTTACAAGAAGCTAAACAGAAAACGCCTAAAAATATGCAACGCTTTTCATACATTGCTGCTATATTATGAAGACAAAGCTGGAAACTAAAACAAAACTAAGTTCAAAGAACAGTAATATAATACCAACATAACTTCAACAAAATTCAATAAAATACATTTTAATTAGACTATATATGTTGTTCTTGTTGCAAAAACCATAATCAAACTCTACCTATTAAAAAAAACAATTACAATAATAACAAATTTTAACAAGTCTACTCAAAACGTAAGCTGTTCAAGTTTGTGCGTTTAGTTTTCATTCAATTCAAATCTTAAAAAAAAACAAAGAATACAATTTTGAGTGTTCCAATAATTATGTAGTAAAAACTTGCATTGCGTTTTGGTCTCAGAACAACACACACACTGAGAGGATTGAAAAAAGAAACGAAAACGAACACAATTTGTTTTTTTTTTTTTTTTGGTTTGTTAATTACCGATTATGTTGGCACAAAGAAAATGTGGCAAATTCCAGCTATGTCCATCTTTTTTTGATCACAAAATTTTTTGGGATACATTTTTTAGGATAGGGAAATTTATTTGAGAAAAAATGCGTGTAATTTTTGTTGTTAAATGCAAAGTATAGATAAATTGTAGGATATAATTTTATTCGTAAAGGGAATTAAAAAAATATTGTGAAATTTTGGGTGTTCATTGCATGTGTGTATGTAGGTGGGTGGTGGATTGGGTTCGGTGAGTGTGTGTGTGTGTTTTTATGAATTTTGGTGTGTAAGAACATTTTCATTGATTTGTAGTTGTTTTTTGCAGAAAGAAGATTTTTTTTTTTTTAAATAAAGAAAGCAAAATATTTGTAAAAAAGAAGGAAATATTTTTTGTTGTTGGGCAATCTTTTCATTTGATTTGAAATTTGTTTTTGTTAAAGAAAAGGTAAACAAGTGTATAGGTGGTTGGTTGGGTTGGTGTTTGGAAACAAATAGAAATGATTATTTTTTTTTAGAGTACAAATGTGGAATTGGTGGCGTTTTATATTTTTTTATATGAATAAATGCGGAAGGGTATTAAAAGTGTGTAGCACCTACCTTCTAACTGGACTAGCCATAACTAGTGGAGTGGCTACACCCAAGGGTTTCATGCGTTGCTGCATTGTGGGTGTAGCCGTTGTCCCCGTACGATTTTGTGCTTGTTGCTGCTGCTGTTGTTGTTGACTTATATGATTTGGATGATCTGGTGACATGGCATCATTGAAACCACGCTGTGGATCGAGGCCCCTGAATGACATTAAGAAAGAAAATCAGTTGAATGAAAATAACGACCAATTGGGCTGTATAGAGACACCAAAGGTCTTCATACAGACCAATTGGGCTGTATAGAGAGACCAAAGGTCTTCATACAGACCAATTGGGCTGTATAGACACACCAAAGGTCTTCATACAGACCAATTGGGCTGTATAGAAAGACCAAAGGTCTTCATACAGACCAATTGGGCTGTATAGAGAGACCAAAGGTCTTCATACAGACCAATTGGGCTGTATGGAGAGACCAAAGGTCTTCATACAGACCAATTGGGCTGTATGGAGAGACCAAAGGTCTTCATACAGACCAATTGGGCTGTATGGAGAGACCAAAGGTCTTCATACAAAACTAATTTATAAAACACAGACCAATTGGTGTGGGCTGTATACAGCCCAATTGGTCTGTATGAAGACCTTTGGTCTCTCCATACAGACCAATTGGGCTGTATACAGACCGGTGGTGTCTAAACAGACCAATTGATTTTTATACAAATCCACGATCCAATTGGTGTTTTATAAATTAGTTTTAAAATATATATGTTCTTTGATCTCATCTCACCTTTGTCTGGCCAGGGGACTATGCCTGGGATGATACATGCGCATATGACGCGGTGAATCACCGCCACCATTATTTTGACCCGTATTATTACCCTGCCCCGTTGATATTGTCCCATTGACATTTTCCATTTGGGGCAAAAAGAAATTCGTCGAGTTGTGTCGTTGCAGGGGCGGTGTTGGTTCACAATCTTGACTCTGTGATGCTTGAGGTTCCATATCGGTGTCAGAACATTCACGACCAGGCGATAACTGTTGCATGATAATATGAAAAAGGAATAGAAAGAATAATAAAAAGATAAAATATGAAATCAAATGCTGTTATATTAAAAAAAAAACAGTTACAATTACTGAATTAAATTGTATGTTATTTGTAAATACAGTTATTAATAAAAAACAGACGTATGACATAAATAAAATATAATTTTTAAATAAACATGAAATGGAATATGTAAAATATAAACGACGACGACAACAACATGAAAAAGACAATGCATTTTTTGAAAGGAGATTGTTGGAATGAGACTAGTGTAGGGAAATTTATTATTAATCAGATTCTATTATAAATGTGACTGATAGTGTTGCCTATTTTTAGGGGGTGTTTATGGATTATATAAAATAAACAAAAGAAAGAATGCGTGTTATCTGTGCTACACTTATGTTGGCGAACTGTGTGGGTCGTAGAATGAATGTAGTCCTATTAACAAGTCAAGATCAAATTCTCAAATCGTATAATAACTATTTTTGATAGGTATATTTGATTCCCACAAATTGTAGACGATGCATACTTTCGGCAAAGAGGAGCCTCAAAAAAATCGATTTCTCCAAAAAGACAACCAATTGGCTTCTGAAAATATTGACTAACGGAAAAAAAGAATGATCGTTGAAAACAACATTTCTTCGAATGAAGTTGGTTACCCATAGTGTTATGTTTTAAGAAGACTGATCTATGAACCCGTATTGATATTTTTACGGAGAAATTAAATCTTCTTCCGTCGGAAAAAAGGTTAGATCCTTCGCTAATACATTTTTGTATTCTTTGAAAAGTAGAAAAGACACATCACAGCTACTGAAAAAAAGACTACCGAAGATTGAATTAGACCTTATGAGAGCTATTATAAGACAGGGACCTATAATTTTCTGCCAGGAGATTATTTTATTATTTATGCATACAGAACCCACCAATACAGAAAATATCATACTTCAAAGGTATTGAATTCGTCGATAGCTTCTGTTATCTAGATTACAATGTGGTGCAGCTTTTAGACAACTGCCCTGCCCTTGGACATATGCCCTCCTATCCCTGAAAAATCTACCCCAAGTGGTAATTTACTGCAACCGATTTCTGACGGACTTGTGACCAGGCTATCCAATGGAAAGAAGTCAAATGCGCCTTTCCACAAATATGGACTCGCATTTAAAACGCTCGACGTTACTCTATCCCTCGTTAAAACCGAATTGCAGCAAGGAGGCATCTTCACCGGTGCATTCCCTAAGCCTTGCCTCCTCAGAACTTTTCCTAGAAATAGAAGACTGGACTTATGGTCTAATACAAGTTCGGATCACTCTTTACTCAATCAGGCTAAGTCATTTCCATATCGGGCAACAAATAATCTTAACATATTAACTTGGCCAACAAATAATCCTTATTGAATGTATAATGAAAACGGACTCGATATATTCTGGCATGACCTTCCATATGACATTGAACATCTTTCCAGTCATTCCTGGAAATTTTCTACTTCTAATACGACAGATACTGTTCGCAACTTCTAATTGTCTCCTTTACTCCTAGACAGCTCCTACTTTTAATCCCTAATAGCAGCAAAGACTTATGCCCCGATACGATGGCGGATCACTCTTTACTCAATTAGCAACACCATTCACACGGGTAATAACCGTGATGAATGTAACTAGTGAAAACGGGCTCTTTATATTCCGGCTTGGGGTTATATAATATCCAAACCCGTAGGCTACTCGAATTCATCTACACGCGGAAGAAATGTTGGAGTCTCCGAATCCGCAAAAATGTTCCTTACGCTCTCCTCCACCCCGAGGTTATTGCCGTAGACGCTTTGATCAATCATGTCGACATACACGGTATACAATACACCAAGGATCATTGCTATTGGCGTAAAGCGGATCACTCCTGACTCAATCAGGCAAAGAAAGAAATCCATGTTTATACCCTACACAATTATGTTGTCAGGGTATTATAGCTTTGTGCAGCCCAAGAGTTTGTACCGCTGCGATATTGGGAATGTGAACTTAAGGGGATGAAATGGACCAAATGCTTCATTTTTGTCGTATTTTGTAGTCGCTCCAGATGTAACAATTAAGGCCCGAACATTGCGAAATTTTACATGGAGAAGAGGATCGGTTCAAGGAATCAGCATGCCTGTTTTGATAAAGATCGGTCATTATTTAGTGGTTCAAATGGACCCTGACTTTTGTGTGAAAAATTCATTCTTTGGCGTATATTTACTCCTGAAGGGCATAGACCCGAGAAGTTGGCAGTATATCCAAGAGGAGTGGTTGACCTTTAAATTGATACCAATTATATTGTCGTATGTACTCGGATGTGGGAGCTAAACTTAAATATCTATAGGTGCTTACGTATTCAGATATTATTTAGTAACCCATTAACATTAGAGGGCAGAAATATAGCGCTGATCCCTTTGAAATGTTCCGTGAGGTTCCAGTTATGGTCAAGGACATCGCCTATAATTATCGGCGATGATCTGATAATAATATTGGGATGAAGTGGACCGAAAACTTAATTTGTTGTGTTTTATTTTCGAGTCGATCTATAAACCACAATTGAAAGCCGAACATCACAACACAACCCACTGTGAAGGGAATCTGGACAAGTAATTATAAGGGGCTGTACTAAATATTAGTAATATTTGTTGACCTCTAGTCGGTTAAGAGGGTGTAGAACCACAGACAGTTAGATTTTCGTGGAAGTTGTGTAGGGTATCATATGGTCGGCCTCGTTCGACTATACTGCTCCGCTCACTGGTTTTTTGTTATTGGGTTGTTAATTTTTTAAGGAATATTTTTCCAGATCTCACAAGACCGGGAGTTTTTAAGGAATCACTTCCAGACCTATCAAGGCTTCAATTCTTTAAGGACTTTTTTCCAGACGAAAAAATGCCAAGATTTTTTCTAGACCAAACATGGCGTGTTTTTTTAAGGATTGGATTTTTTAGGACATTTTTTTCGCAGACCTAACATGGCTTGTGAATTTTGTTCCTAGACCAATGAAGTGTTTTTAATGACATTTTCCCCCAGACCTAACAAGGTTTCGATTGTTTAAAGAAATTGTTTAAGACCTAAACAAGGCATGAATTTTTAAGGAACAAGGAATTTTTAAGACTTAAGAAGGAGTGGATTTTTTAAGAAATATTTTTTTCACACTTAAGAAGGCGTTGAATTTTTGCCTGGTATATCAAGGCGTGGATTTTTTAAAGGAATATTTTTCCATGGCCTATCAAGGCGTGGATTTTTTAAAGGAATATTTTTCCATGGCCTATCTAGGCGTGGATTTTTTAAAGGAATATTTTTCGATGGCCTATCTAGGCGTGGATTTTTTAAAGGAATATTTTTCCATGGCATATCGAGCGTGGATTTTTTAAAGGAATAAATGAAAAATCCGACCCCTGAAATCCTATGGAATTATATTGTTATGAAACTTTGTGCCTTCCTGTATTAAGCGAATTTGTAACATAAAAACTGAAAATTGGCTCAATGTTGGTAATCTTTAAATTTTTGTGATCAAATACTTCCTTGAGTGCTGTGAGAAGGTGGTAAGGACACTTAAACCAAAAATTATTTAAAATAAATATTCAAAATGTGTATTAAATTATAATAATATTTTAAATATATATTTGTATTTTTCTCTAAATTACTAACAATGCAGTTTGAATATGAAAAGGAAGAATTAAAAAAAAAAACAAACGACGACGACTTTACGTAAATAAATATATGGAATATACTTTTTTCAAAATACAAATGTAATTGAATGGAAAAAATAAAAACACTTGACAACTATATTGTTTTTTTTTTTGTAGAATAATGTAAACGGAAGGGCGAGCGGCGAGAGAGAGAATAAACATTATTATTATGAAAAAATTCAATTTTGATTACTTAAGAAAAAAATTTACAATTTCAATTAAATCTTTAAGAAAAAGAGAATACAAATTATAAAAAATTGAGTTTACCTTATTTCTTTGTCTTTGTTTTCAAGTAGTACGGGGTGCTTTTTTCACAAAAAAGTCGTGTTTGACCAATTTCGTTACGTTTGACTTAAACAAATTTTTCTTCTTTACACAATACAATAATTCAATAACAAATTTTAATTACAATTAATTCTAGCAGCAGCATCAACAGAAAGAATACAAAAAAACTAAAAAATTTTAAATAACTCAACTCAACTAAACTAAAAAAATGCAAATTTGCTGAAAGATATAGAAAGCCCACAATCATCAACAAACAAAATGAAAATAAAAAATTGGCAAATTGTGTATTTTTTCCAGAAATACAAAAAATACTAAGTAATTCCAAATAAATCCATGCAAATAATAAAAAATGAAAAACAAACTTGGGGATAGAAATAATAAATTGTTTTAGTGCCAAAAATAAATGCAACAAAAAACGAAAATAATTGCAAACTACAACAAAATCTGTGATCTGTGTCGGGTGTTGGAAAAAAACGAGTAATTCAAGTGGAAAAATTTAGTGATTTGCAAACAAATTCAGTTGATTGTTATTTTTTTGGCTTGATTTTTTTATTATAGTGCGGTAAACCAGTGCAACAAAATTTAATTCGTAATAAATTCACAAAAGATTTATAAATGAACAGGAAATAAACCGATTAGATTTACAAGCAATGTTTATTAACAAAATATTTTTTAGGAAAGAATATTTTTCATTGCCTATAATCAAGGCGTGGATTTTTCGAAAGATTTTTTTACTAGCCTATCATCGAGGCGTGGATTTTGAAAAAAATATTTTTCATTGCCTATCATCAAGGCATGGATTTTTTAAAAGAATATTTTGCCTATCATCAAAGAGTGTTTTTTTTTTAAATTTAAAATATAGTTAGCAGCATCAGATTCAAGCATCTCGATATACACAAGGCCACTTGGATTTCTCCAGATCGAACAACGAGAAATCAAATCGATCATGTTGTGATAGACAGAAGGCATTCATTCTAGGCGTCCGATCGATCCGGAGAGCGAATATCGATT